GTAATATGGCTGATCTCCTTTGCCTGCATGCTTCTTCTGTCCTAACAAAATGACCTTCTTCCTCTGTTCGATATGTCCTTAAACAAACTTGACTTCTTTTAAATGTAAATATTTGTTCCACCTTTCAAACTAATATAAACTGATACTGCTTTAGATTATTTTCGAACTCGACTTTGACATCTTAATATCTAGGAATTAATATTTTCACCTCTCAAAACATTTTATAACCAAAATTGAACATAATAATCCACTCAAACATTTTACTCTTCATACTGTTGAGGCAAATTAGGTCTAGTTGATGGGGAGAATGAAGTAGCTTGTTTCTAGTCTTATCAGTTAAAGATATTTAAGGTATCCATTTCTGCTTTCGTTGAAAATCTGGGAATAAAGGTGTATGATTGAGTTGATTACAACTTGTATAGAGGAAAATGAAATAGCCTTAAATTCTTAGCATAAACGATTTATTCTTCAGCGCTATTGATCCTATAACAGTTTTAAATCTCTTTTGCTGACTTCCTGTGAGACTAATATAATCAGTGGGAAGTGGGGTAATGACAACACCATTTTGTCACAGTTCACCTTTGTCCAGTGTTAGATTGTTCATAGCATATATGTACAATTTTGTTTTTACTGCATACAGAACTGTTGCACAAATCCCGATTCTTGGAAGATCATACATTACTATCACAATTTTTTGTTTGTTTGACTATATTGAATTTGTTCTTTTTAAAAATGAATTTGTTTAAGTAAACTATGAAAGTACTTCATTGTTGCCCATTCTAGAGTTTGTGTCTCAAGGCTAACTTACAGTTTTAATGACTCAGACGCATGCTGTGGCAAAGGACCTTCTCAAGTATCATTCGCAGACTCTCGCCTTGGTTATTGGTGGTTCAGCAAGAAGAGCAGAGGCAGATCGTATTGCAAAAGGGGCTAATCTCTTAGTAGCCACCCCTGGTCGGCTTCTTGATCATCTTAGAAATACCAAAGGCTTCATTTATAAGAACCTAAAGGTACTTGTATCTTTCAACCAGCTAGTTATTTATTTCTGATGTCACTTCTTAGTGTGATATCAATTAGTGTTCTCAATTTCGACCTATGATATTTGTTAGAATTTACCTTACAATTTATTCATATCTTTTACTTGACCCAATTGTTTTCAAGCATGGATCCAAGGGACGATGTGGTTTCTGAAATTAGTGCCTAAACTTGCAGTGTCTCATGATTGATGAGGCTGATAGGATTTTGGAAGCGAACTTTGAGGAAGACATGCAGCAAATCATTAAACTTCTACCAAAGCAGGTATTGTTACCTATGTTATTAGTCTTTTGAACACTATAGCTTTGTTAAATCGTTATCCACGATGATAGTCAATTTTAAGATTAAAATAGGTACAATTTCCTGTATTAGGCCTGCTTAATGATTTTAATTAGAACTAAGTAGAGTACAAACGGGCATTTGTTTGTCCTTGTAAGTTCTCAGTGATGACTTTTCTCTAAATTAAAATAAAGAAACTCATGGTTGATGTAAATGGTCTTAAATCCACGCACATGCTTTATTTGCTATTGGAGTTAAGATGGAGTTTTTGTTTAACTCTTTAACTACCAATGTGTGCAAAACCAGACATGACTGGTTAAAAAGCTCATGTATAACCTTTTTCCTAACTAATTTCTTGAAATTATTACTCTGAAAATTGTGTTTGCAGCTTCAATAGCTGGTAGTTCATTGCATGCCTTGTTTCTCAGTTATTCTTCTTATCTTATTTTCAACTGTTGATGTATTTGATATTCTGAGTTAACTAATATGGTAGCTGCTCTACAGGGGAGGCAGACTGCTCTCTTTTCAGCCACACAAACAAAAAAGGTATTCTAAAGCCTCAATTTTTTCATAGTCCTCTTAGCTGAAAAGCAAGTAGTAAATCCCTACTTTCAAGTGCATGTTTCTTAAACTTTAAACATAATTTTGGAAATAGAAAAGAGATATAAGAATCACCATTAAGAGTCTACTGAAAGTAATACTTGTCATGTCATATATGGTAAAAACGTTTTTCCTGAATGAAGCCCCATTAACTTGTGAGTATATACGGCTTCTTGTTTTTTTTTTTTTGGGCGAAATATAAATTTATGATGATTTGAGAAAGTGAACGACAGCAATATATAAAGCTCACTGAGGGACTCAATCGTTCATTGTTTTCAGGTTGAGGACCTTGCTCGCTTATCTTTGGACAAACCTGTCTACATTGATGTGGATGATGGGAGGAGGAGGGTATATACACACTCATATTTTTTCCTCCTAATATTTGTTTAATGTTAAGATCATCTTGTAAGTCTGTTTGAGTATATGGTGCAATTCAGGTTACAAACGAAGGGCTGCAACAAGGATACTGTGTTGTCCCAAGCGCTAAGAGATTTCTTCTCCTTTATTCATTCTTGAAGAGGAACCTGTCAAAGAAAATAATGGTTTTCTTCTCGTCTTGCAACTCTGTCAAGTTTCATTCAGAGCTACTTCGCTATATCAAGATTGAATGCTGTGATATTCATGGGAAGCAAAAGCAGCAAAAACGAACTTCTACCTTTTTTGAATTCTGTGAAGCCAAAACAGGCATCCTGTTATGCACGGATGTCGCTGCACGTGGTCTTGATATTCCTGCTGTGGTATGTTGCTTCACCTCCTTGCACCCGTTACCAGTACAGTCCTTGGTCCATTGGCTGGAATCTGTATATGAAATCGGGGGAGAGAATCTGTTTCACTGTTTCTCCTTTTCTTTTCTGAGGTTTTCCGGTGTTGGGGATTTTCTTTTGGGTGTGTGTGGTGGGGGTGGTGGTTTAAAAGAGATCTTCAATCAAAGAAAGAAAAAATGTTGTTGGTGCTCAATTCGTTCTGCGTCGATTATCTTGTCGTGCTATCATATGTAGTTCTCTATTTTGTTGTTAACTGTTATTAGAAGTAGAAATGTTTTTTACCGTACAACTTCTCTAGTGAGAAAAAAACAGTGACATGTTCACAGCTCTCTCCCTCTGAAAGATAGTAATGGGAAGTATTGATTCTTGTTATGCCTCTCTTTCCAGGATTGGATTGTGCAGTTTGATCCCCCTGATGAACCCAAGGTATTAAACGCTTCACTTCAAAGTTGGTTACGAAGGGAGAAATTCTCGTTCCTTATGATTTGATATGCAAACCTTTACAGGAGTATATACACAGAGTTGGTCGAACAGCACGTGGGGAAGGTGCTAAAGGAAATGCATTACTATTCTTGATTCCAGAAGAGTTGCAGTTTCTTAAGTACCTCAAGGTCTCTTCACAATCACACTTTTTTGAGATGGACAGAATTACAAAACATCTCTTAGAATTCTAAACGTGTCATCAGAAGCATTGATCCCTTGAAGTAGGAGTTGTTGTACTTGAAATTTGAAAATATGTTTACCAAGTATAAGCGAAATACTTAATTTTATCTGGTAAAAGCTCGGGCTAAAAGATGGAGCTCGGCAAACTGATATTTCCAAATCGTTAATTTTTCTAGAATTTTTTTGGCATTTATTTAAAACTGTTTCCTGATGACTTCGTGTTGTAATTGAGTAGAGCAATTGAGTTTTTCAGTGTTTCATATATAATTTTGTTAAATTGTGAGTTTGCTTTGATTGTCTAATGTGCATTATGCATGTGCTTTTACGACAGGCGGCAAAAGTGCCTGTAAAAGAATATGAATTTGATCATAAGAAGGTGGCCAATGTGCAGTCACTCCTGGTAAATCTGTGACAGCTGCTTGTATTTTTTTTTATTTATTATTTAGCCAACTGAGTATGTTTCTTATAGCTTATGAGGACCTTGGTGTTTAAAGAATGCAACAATTTATTTCAGGAAAAATTGGTCGCAAACAACTATTACTTGAACCAGTCAGCTAAAGAGGCATATAGGTCCTATATACTAGCATATAATTCTCATTCCATGAAGGAAATATTCAATGTTCACCGACTTGATCTACAGGTACGTGATCTTGCTTCCTTTTCCAATGTTGTGGTGGAAACATTCTCATAGACATGTTAAGAAATAAGATAATAGATGACGCTAGTTATAAACTATAAAGACTTTCATTTCAGTGCAATACCTTTTTAAATAAGGTAATATGGTTTCATCAATAGGATACAGAGGGATGAAAGAAAGACATGGTTATTCTGGTGTGTAGGACGCATTTATGTGCTCTCATAACGCACGTGTAAACAGTGAAGTTAGGCTAAAAGCCAAAAAGTTGTGAAGTTGGGCCCCTTATAAGCACAATGCTTGTACAACAAAGAGATATGAATCTTGAAATTGTTGCGTAAGCAAAAATTTTGGACAGAATATGCAGAAAGAGGACAGAATATACAGAGAGGATCACGTATGTTTTGCAGCTCTCTAGCTAGACTTTGATGGTAAAGGTAGGTTGGGCCTATCGCTCTAAGAATTGATTAATTAACTCTATTATGGTTTCATACAACAGTTTATATTTTCTTGATCGAACAATTGAATCTACTGCCAGTTCATACATATGAAAAGTATGGTTTCTGTAAGCCTTAGTTGTGTGCTTGCACTACTATAACTATTTTTTATCTGTGTTCATCCTTGAGAGGAGTATTTTTTGTCACACTTATTTGCTTCAGCCAATAATCTTGTTACTGTTGGACCTGGCTGAAGTTATATTTGCATTTTCTTTGAATTAGGGTATTCATGTTACATGTACTACGCCTTTAAAATTTCAGACCTACAGTCAGTGTTGTCAAAAGCGAAAAGCTCTAAAAAGCGCTCCAGGTCGATTGGGGCTTTAGCAACTAAAGTGCGGGCTTTTGTAAAATAGGTGCAACTAAGGGAAAAAATAAAAATACGTATGTACTTCAAGAAAAAAGAAACAAATTCACTCCTAATGTTTTCTTCAGCAACTAATACACTTGCTGATAATATTTGTTGTTTAGTACCGCTCAATTCAAGATAGAACTCATGGGCATTTAGGCGCACGCCTTAATGGCTTGCCTATACTGAAGCGCAACTTAAGCGAGGCGAAGCGCCCTCCTTGAGCTTCTCTGAGCCTTTGACAACACTGCCTACAGTTTACCTTTTAAATAGTATTAACCAATTCAGGTCTTCTAACTTAAGGACGAAAAGGAATCATTTAGAAAGTTTCCTGTACCTAGTAAGAGTTTCAGGATTGCTTTGTTGTTTTTGCTCTGATTTCATTTTATATGGGACTGTTTAGTGTTTAAGTTGCCTCATTACTCTGTTTTTGCTATCTGCAATTTAGGATGTTATAGAGTTTCTATGATCCAGAAATTACTAAGGGATAAAATGGTGCTTGGCAGGCTGTAGCTTGTTCGTTCTGTTTCTCTAATCCTCCAAAAGTACACCTCAACATAGATAGCAATGCATCCAAATTCAGGAACAAAAAGCGTAAAGTTGAAGGAAGCCGAAATGGGTTCAGTGAGAACAATCCTTACGGAAAGAAAGGAAGTGACGATACAAGGCAGTTTGTAAGATATTAGGAGATCATATGCAGCAGCAAAGGTTTCTGCACCAGATGCACTTTCATAGTTGATGCATTTTATGCTACTTCGACATTTTTGTCCAGAGAATCTTTTCTTGTTTATTTATTTACTTATATTATGAGACGAACGATTTACTTATGATAAAGATTGATTATGGCGAGGTGGGTTAAATTGTGTTTTCTGTCGTTTGCTTTAATCAGCTTATTACTGAAAAAATATGGTACATGTTTTGTAAAATAAAAATATGGCTTCGAAACTTATTAGTAGCTTATTTTTGTATTTCTAAATTTTGACCGAACAGCTATTAAAGAAAAGGTGCAAATACTGAAAAAAATATAACAAGTGTTAATGTTTTATTAACTATAAGTTTAGAGAGAATATCAAAAAGTTTCTACATGAATTTAGTTTAACAATTAGCAAACATGTTCTTTTAAATTGGAAATTTCACGCTCTAAGGTATTTTATTTTATCCTCTACCAATCTTTCTATTACAATTAATCCTCCAGTGAATTTGAAGGAGCTTCGTGAAATCAGATTCACAACGTGCACTGAAGAGAAAGTGACATGATTCCATTTCTTCATGATGTGGATTAAGAACAACTGCCATATTCTTATTGAACTATAAAACAGTAAAAGATGAATTAATTTTATCATTTCAAAAAGAGAGTTGTTTTGATGCTGTAAAATCTTTTTACCTTTCATTATTGTTACGTGGTGCTTAACATTGAAAAAAGAAAATAAAATAAAATCATTGGAGTTTGATTTATAGCTGATAATCCCGCTAAATTACTGATGTCTTCTCTTTAATGGTAAAGACAAAATAGGGATAAGAACTCAGAAAACAAGTGGTTAATACTAAATGCTTAAGAAGGTAAGTTTTTTTTATTTATGTGGGCCTGCTCCTAAATGAATTTTTAAAACTTGTAAGTATTTATCCACAAAACAGTGTGTGCATGTTGATTTTGTCAGTGTTATTTCTAGAGAGGAAAAAAAAAAGGAAAACTCCTAGTAGACTGCAATGCCCTTCCAAAAGAATAATAAAGACCAATGTGAAATACAATACCGTAATCTATCATTGGAAACAAAACAAAAATTACATATAAGTGGACCGACATAAAAGATAAAAACAATAAAATAATATACCCTTTTAATTTTAATTTATAAACAAAAACTTCCTTAGCCTCTAATTAAGACCTGATCTCCTTCCTCCCAAAGCAAAATCTAAATAGACAAACTACTTTAAAAAAATATTATAGCAAAATACAGATTATACATTGACCAAACACTTGTGGTACACGTCCACGTACTGGCACACGTTACTTGAAAGTTGAAACCATTGCTTACCAAATCCTTCACGAAACCATTTTAGTACAAAGGTCAAAATAGGAAATTAAAAACCAAAACCAAAGGGACTGTATCCAAATCCAACGAACCCAAACCCACTAGAGCCATTAACCGCCAGCTCACGCCTTCCCACGCAAGTAATGGAAAAAGAAAAAAACGTCGGCTCATAAAAACAGAGTGCTATCCCAAAATTTTATAGAAAAACGAAACCAACTTCACCGCCCACTTAAAAGCCAAATAGTAAACTTGTGGCGGTGTTTACCGTTGGCTTCTTTCTTTTTAATTCCCCCTCTCTTCGTTTCTTCATTCTTTTCTCCCAAGTTATCAAACTAATTAATCCTACTTCTACTTTGATTTGGATTTGGCTCTACAAAAACTATATAATTCTCCAGTTTTATTTTGCTCCAATTCACCTACTCATTAACAGTTTTTAGTTTCAAGTTTTCTCGGCCTCTCCTCCACAGGTTTTGAGTTAAAAGGATTCGAGAATGTGCTTTAAGTCTGTCGATCGTTTTCGTCTTCACCCTTTAATTTTCTAAGCAAGTATTGATTCTTTCTGATTTTTTTTCATATTGAATATTCTCTTCCCCTTACTTTACAATTCTGCATTGGTTCTTTCCTTAGCTCGCTTCAATTACATTCATTCAGAATTTGATTCCAATGCTTACCTATTGATTCAAATTCTCTACGAAACAGTTACAATTACCAAACTGTCCTCCCTCGAATAGTTTTTCTTCTCTTGTTCGAATAATTCTACAATGGAGAACTTTGTGAAACCTCAGTTCTTCTCTCTTCTTCGTGGGGAAGCAACAGTTCAAAAATACCCCAATAATCACAAGATTTTGGCTCCTCCCAATATGTACCAGCCAAAATTTGAACAACAATCCGCTGAATCTACAAGCTCAAGCAATGATGACGTACAAGATCCAGAAGTTTCTGATTCAGAGAGTTCGGTTATTGGCTCGAAATATCAAGAAAAAAACACCGGTTTGATGAGAGTTGATGAGGGCGATAAGGTATACGGAATTATCAGAGAGAAGTTTATGTCAGGATTGGGTGCTTTAGGAGCATCAACGCAAATTACGGCAATTCATAAGGAAACTTGCTCTAGTTTCACAAAACAAGCAAAGCTTCAATCCTTCCTTATTTTCTCAAAAGCTGTTGAGAAAAAATGCGGAGGAAATAATGCTAATGTGAAATACGCTTGGTTTGGAGCTTCAAAAGATGAGATTAACAATATATTTTCACATGGTTTTGTTCCTTCTTCGAACAATGGAACTTATTCTCACGCCATATGCCTCTCTCCTGATAATTATCCTCTTGATTGGTACTTACTTGAAATTCTTTTTTTTTTCTTTTTCTTTCTGGTTTTGAGGTTTTCAATTTATTTGCCTTTTAATTGATTTTTGATTTTTTTTTTTTTTTTTTTTTTTTTTTTTGCAGTCTACAAAATGCTGTTGCTGATAAAAATGGGATAAGGGATTTACTGCTTTGTCGTGTGATATTGGGAAAAAGTGAAGTTGTACATCCTGGAACAGGACAGTGGCATCCGAGTTCTGATGAATTTGACACTGGCGTTGATAATTTGCTTTCTCCTAGAAAGTATATTGTGTGGAGTACACATATGAATAGTTATGTGTTCCCAGAATTTATGGTCAGTTTCAGAGTCACCTCTCATGTCAAAGGTGAGCATACTTTACAGTACCTTAAGCATAAAAGAGAATTAGTTATGTTAGAGGATTGTTAATTTTTGGTCTCATTTATGCAGAGTCTCAAAGGAATGGAGTTCCTGCTAAAAATCCAAATTCACCTTGGATTTCATTTCCTGCGCTGATTTCTGCTCTATCAAAATTCTTGCCACCTCACACTATCAAATTGATTACGAAATATCATAGTGATCATAAGGTATGCGCTTGAAGCTCTTTGAATTTTCTTTTTAGTATGTGTCAATGTATTCTTTTGTCCAGTTGTTCACATCTAGTTCTGTTCTTTAGGAGAGGAAGATGACAAGGCGAGACTTGATTCAGCAAGTGAGGAAACTAGCTGGAGATGACTTGTTAACTGCAATCATCAAGTCCTGCAAGTATAAGGTATAACCATTAACCTACAACAAATCAAATGTTTGTTTAACAAAGTGTGGCATGAGTAAACATTACTCATTGTGTTTGACAATGTAAGCACCTAATTCACTTGTCCAACCCCGTATCACCTAATTTTATCTGTTCCTTGTTTGAGTTAAGTATTCAGTTGACTGGAAAGAAGCTGCAAATTCTGTTTTCAGGATAATATTTTAGTCCCTTTTGCTAAATGAGCTCAATTTAGGGATAAGGTTGTTCATGATCTACTTGATGTTCCAGATATTCTGCTTCTCTTTGTTGTTCCTCTAGTAGAGCCTTGCTTTCCATTTCACTTACTTAAATACAACTCACGAACTTTTGGCTCCAGAAATGTTCTATCAAGTTAGTCAAGTGTTTTTCAATGAAGTAACTTGATTTGGATTACTCTTATCATGTCATGTGGAAAGTTAGGTCATCCTCACTACTATGAAGTTTGGCCTTTGCTTGAATAAATGGCTTCTAGTTGTGAAGTGGGGAGGTACCAAGTAGTCCCAACTTAGAGGATATTGTGGTAGTTTAGTATAGCCATGTAAACTCTGCAACTCTCGTGATTGCGCCGAAGAAGACTAAGCTGAAAAACCTAAGGCTTCCTAGATAGACTAAGGAGTGGAAGGGAGCTTATTCAAGCCTTAATGATGTTCTTATATATAGAGGACTCCAGTTTTAGTTAATTCATCGCTTAATTTTTCTTTAAACGAACATTTGACATATTTTTGCTTGTTCCATGATCAAGTGTTTGAAACAGTATTTACTGCCAGTTCTACATAACCTAGCAACGTATAGCATAAAGCTTAAATAACCTGCAAATTCATATGTTTGTGTTATCTGTAGTCGAAGGGTGTAACTTTAAGCTCTACTCTTTTACAGGTCATTTAGCTTATTCCCCTTCAAAAACATCCTGAAACTGATATTATAAGTTGTGCCTAACAGTCAAAACTAGGATGCCCTTGTTAGTTTTTGCACAAATCATTATGATGGTTAAATGACCTGTTTGTCCTTAACTTCTCGCAGCATAATAAAGGATCAACCGGGATCTCATCCAACGTCAGCTCAATTCATTCTGGACAACGAGATGGAAAAAGCTGTGCTTGCAAAAAGAGTTGTTGAGTAATTTTCTTGAAGAATATATTGATGGAAACAGAAAGAATGAAGCGTTGATCCCTGGGATGAAAATGATACCACCTAACAAATTAGTATTTGAGTAGCTCAATTCCCCCCTAACATGGGTTCTTGTATCATCTCTTCACACTGTTTTTTGCTTTGTAGCCCCAAAGTTGTCTTTGAGTAACAGTGTCTCCCAATGTAATAGATAGTTGTAACAGTTCCCAGCTGATCAGTTCTTGTTGATGGAGAGTAATAAACAAATTGCTATCCAATTATTCAGGCTGCAACATCTTGTATTATCTTTTAGTACACAATCAGATATCTGCAAGAGGTGCGATACAATCTATCTCAGAACTATCACTGCTCATAAAAGCCAAAATGCCTCAGTTTTTAGTATTGAAACTGAACTCCAGTTAATGTTCAAATTGGCCAAAATAGCAAACAGTAAGCTGATTTTTGCTTCTTTTTACACATATTAAGAAATTTAACTTTTAGTATTAATTAACAATGAAATTGATCATATTAACTTTAATTTGGTCATTGAAAATATAACAAACTACTTCAAGGACAACTTTGGAAAGAAAAAGTTAATTCTTTCTTGATATTTGAAAAAATCAAATATTATGGACTATAAAAAAAGCAAAAAAATTACTTAAAAGTGTACCGGAAGGAGCGCTCATTCATATTTTCTTCTCCACGGCTCTTCAGTTTTGAAATAATAAAAAGTTAGTTTGCATTTTTAGAGATGGACTATATGTTCTAGAAAAGTAAACTTTTCAGTATAAGAGGTAGGGGTATACATGGATCCGGTTGATTCAGTTTTTATCGAAATCAAACCAAACCAATTATATCGGTTTGGATTGGTTCGATTTTGTCGGGATTTTCGGATTTTTTGTTACTTAAATATAATTACAATCTTATTTTGTTAAATTTTTTCATAAGTAAATATATGTTTAGTAAAAATTTAAAAAATTGACAAACATATTATCTATTAAAAAATTCTTATGGGAGAATTTGCTTAATAACATATGATAGTTATTTTTTTAGTCGTCTAACAATTATTTTTCGTTGATGAACACTTTCAAGGTTAATCGAATTTAGTAATTAATAGATCTTGACATATGAATAGGAAGAACAAAGAAATTGACGCATTTCAGTAACACTTGATAAGAAAGTGGTCATACATCCATTATTTAAGGTTAATAAATATGGAGCACTTCATATTCTATTAAATATTATATCACGTAAGAGAATCCCAAATATTTCTAGACATTTTCAAAGAAAATTCTATATAAAATGTTAAATGTATATATAGAAATTATATATTTATACGTCGGTTTGGCTCGATTTTTTTACTCAATACCAAACCAAATCTAATCGAGTTTTTTAATCGATTTGATTTGACTTTTCGGTTCGGTGCGATTTTTCGATTCGCTTTGTATACCCCTAACAAGATGTTTTGAAGGAGAAAAAAAAGACGGGAGAATCATATTACTCGAAAGAAAAGCATTGTCCATGTCTTGAAAAGCTATAGTGATGCATCTAATGGGTTGATGAGCAAAACAGAAAAAGAGGAACAAGCTAAAATTGTGTAAATACATTAAAATATGGGGTGTCCGTTCCTTATATCTTCAGGTTTTATTAAAGAAAGTTTCATAGAAAAAAAGAAAGAAATTTTACGTGGTCCGATTTTTTTCCTTACAAATTAGTATGCTTCAAATTAGGCTAATATTCCTGTGCCTAAACAGAAACCTACTAGACTTAAGATTCTTGAGCTATAAAATATAAATATCGTTAAGTAATTTGGGGTCTTGCCTCTCTCATTCAGTAATACCCGTAATTTGATCATGAAATCAATAATACCGTCTACAAATTATACAAAATGGCGGAAAGGGATGTGACAGAGGTGAGGAGGAGGAACAATTGATGGATGGATCATTATTTCAGGGGTGGCTTGTTTATATACAACAAAAAGACTGTCAAATGTTTCTATGAAACCGATTTCAAAATCTTTTTTTATGTATGAAATATATATTATAAAAACTATATTTATTCATATAGTTCTATTGAAACCAATCTAACGTGACAAGTTAGATATAATCAATAATCTTATATGTCAAATTCTCTATTTATAACATATTATATTGATTTATAATCTAACCATGTGAACTTAAGCTTAACTTTTAGTTTCACGTTTAGTTGTTCTATTTTAACATACTTATTTACATATTGTTACATATATCCTGACATACACAATTGTGTACGCTTACCTTTTATTCGGCTAGGTAAAATCACTCTTTTTCCTTACATATGTTTATTTAAATTTAGAAATGATGGATAAATTTTAGAAAAACAACAACAACAATAACAACAACCTCGAATTAGCTAACAACTGATTACCCTGTGATTCCACCAAAACCAGAACCAAAGCATTGTACAAAATCAGAACCTTTCCGCTTTGTGAAATTCCGCAAAGCGCGGAGGATTTGGAAGGCAACTAGGAAGATGAGATTACCAACTCTTCTTCTAGATTCCGCTTCTTCATCTGCAATATACACATGTTATTTATATATTTATAGAAATAACAGAAAAAGAAAAACTTTTCTCTAACCTCGGCTTCTCGATTTGCTGCTAATGCCTTTGCAATCCTGTTAGTAGTTTCCCCAAAGCACAGGGGCAGATATCTTTGTGGCCTGCCAAATCTTCCGCGGTGCCAAATGCTGCACCGCACTTGCTGAGATTATTTAAATCACAATGAAATCGATTAAAGTGAGCCTTCAACTCGAATTTGTCTGCAAACTTTCGTCCACAATGACACTCAAAGGACCTTTTGGCCAGCCACTTTGAAATTTTACAGAGATGAGACGACATTTTCGGCGTAAAGGGTGTTGCTACAGTAGAGGAATACATAATAGCTTACTTGAGTATCTTTTCTTGCTTAGTAATTCATTGCAAATATGACATATCCCAACAAAAGCCTCCATTTTGAGGAAGAAGAAAATCACATTAGTCTACTAAAATATCTCTCTTACACTTTGTAATAGAAAATGCTTCACGCTCGTCGGGGATAGGCAAAAGACAAGCAATTGCCCTAACTACATGCAGAGGCGAACACAGGATTTGAGCAGGACGGGGGCACCATTGTCTTAAACATGCCAATTACTAGTGATAAAGTTCGGCGCAACTCTATGAAAAAATATATGATAACTTATCAGCAAAATACAAACTTTAATATTATCGAGTATCATCAATGTGATACTAATATAATAAAAGTACATCATTTGTTCATACTTGAACTCGACGCGCTTTCATATTTTGAAAATAGTCAATAATAGCATCATTACTTACATTTATAAATACTTCCTTAAACAAACTAAACAATTATTTAAAAATGTATCACTAATACTACTACGTAATTTATCTTTGATGTACTTCAAAGATAAAAATACTCTTTCTACCGTTGCAGTTGCGTTAGGTAAAATTAGAGTTAACTTTACAAGTAAATAAACAAGTGAATAACTCTCTGCAAGATTTGCCTCAACCAAGGCTTTTGCCAAATCACCAATTCCTTTCAAATCAGAAAACCTAAGGTCACCATGTTGCATTTGCAATATGAAAGTGTCAAGTTGGTGACTAAGATCTCGAAGTTTCAATTTGCCAAACTCATCTGGATAATACTTGGCCAATGTCATTATTTTTTCCTTATCAAAATAAGCAAATGAATTAACCGGATTCAAGCTAGCCATACGAAGAAGCAAGTTACCACTCACAACATCAAAATAATTGTTAAGCTCCTGAAGCTGCAAATCAATCACAGAATAAAAAAGATCAACACGTAAGTGATGTGAATACGTAACAGTAGAAGGTCTACGCTTTGACTTTTCAGGAATATAGAATTCTTCCATATTGGGTACCACAATATCATGTTTAGCACAAAATGAAGAGATTTCATCCATCAATGACACCCATCCATCTTCTCTCATTACTTGCAACCTTTCCTTTGTGAGGTCAAGAAATACCATGGCATTAATAATATCTTGCTCTTTCTTCTGCAAAGCTTTACTCAACTCGTTAGACATCATCAACACTTTTAACATCAAGTGAAGCAAGAAAACAAAGTCAAATGCATTGATTTTACTCAAAAATGCTTCTGCTTGTAATCTATCATCAACCTCAGAACCTTCACATTCAAGCACCTCAAGCACATGAACAATAGATTAAAATAAAACAACAAAGTTATCCAACGTTCTACAATATGATCCCCAACGAGTATCACCTGGCCTTTGAAGCCCTCGCTCTTGATTTAATCCTTTCCCACTTTGAAGTTCACCACTCTCTAGCAATTTCTCCAAAAATTCTGCTTGATGATCACGAAGTTGATCTCTACGCTTAAAAGATGCTCCAACTAGATTCAACACGTTAGCAATTATAGCAAAGAAAGTTTCCACCTCCTTATGTGTTTTAGCCACAGCTACAAGTGTCAATTGCAATTGATGCACAAAATAATGAATACAATATGCTGATGGAGTTTGTTCTAAAATTAAAGCTTTAAGACCATCCACCTTTCCTTGCATGTTACTAGCTCCATCATATCCTTGTCCACGTATTTTGGATGGACTTAATGAGTGTTTCAATAGTAAAGAATATATTGCTTCCTTCAATGACTTTGCAGATGTATCACCAACACGAACAAGACCAATAAATGGCTCATTCACTTGGCCTTTTTTGTCAACATACCGCAAAGCAAGGGCCATTTGTTTATGGTGTGAAATATCCTTGGACTCATCAACTAATATCCCAAAATAATCCCCTCCCAAGTCATCAATTATAGTTTTCACAGTTTCTTGTGCACAAGCACTAACAATATCCTTTTGAATTTTTGGTGAAGTCATCATATCATTTTTTGGAGCATGTTTTAATATAACTCTATCCACATCCGGAAGCCTCTTTACAAGCCATTCCAATAGCCCTAGAAAAAGGCCTTTATTTTTGGAAGATTCACTTTCATCGTGACCTCAAAAAGACAATCCAAATTCTAAGAGGAACCTTGCAACATCAATTGAGGTATTTAAACGAATTCGGTGATCACTTTTTTGTTTCTTGAATTGCTTGTTAAAAGCAACTTGAATTGATTGAGATTCATTAGACAAGTCTAGCATCTTATTGAAATACTTATTGTGGAGATTATTTACTTCACCAACATATAAAGCAAGTCTTTCCGAAACTTTATTCCAAGCCCTAAAGCCAGTTTTTGTGAAAGAGTCACCCGTGCTTCCATGGACATAATCATTCTTGAATAAATAGCAACATAAACAAAATGCCGCATCTTTCTTCACACTATACTCCAACCATCTAGAGTTTGAATCTTTAAACCAACCCGGATTAAATTGATGTATTTTCTTTCCGAATAAAGTTTTAGGGAATTTGTAATCAACCGGTTGGCAAGGCCCTTGTTTAATGTAGTATTTTCTCACTTCATCTCGTATTCTAAGGTTATATTTATCAATGGGTATTCTCTCTTCGGGGTCGGGATTTAGTGATTCCACATCAAATTCATCGACTAGACGGGAGGAGTTCTCTCTAAAACTAGAACTTGGTTGAGAAGAATTAAACCTCGTCAAAAATACGTCCATCTCAAGTTACAAGAACAAGAACTTCCTACAAAATAATGATTCAATTCAATTTAAGTGTCCATCAAGAATAAAAGCAAACTTTCAATAGTGGAATCACACCCCTTCTATCAAGAACAACACTAAGAGAATATAACAGGGGAATCACTCAATCACACCCCTTCAATCAAGAAAAAAGAAAACACAACATTTAAAATAGAGAAATTACACCCTTTAAAATAGGAACACTTACCAATTTGTGAAATTTTTTATCCTTGAAGTGAAGAGGCTTTTAGTTCAACAAAACATAATATAATTGATCTTGTCTTGTAATATGCAAACGGCAAACCCTGCAAAAATATTAAAGTTATACTACGGCACTTTGTGAATAAAAAATTTCCCATATTCAAGTTATAATAAAGGCTTACTGCTTAGTATAGCTACTATGAGAACAAGTATTAATTAAATTAAACAAGTTCGAAATTTTACTCTAGTCTATAAGAAAATGCCTTAATTCAAAGTTTTTGTTGGAAAAGAAACACTTCACTGAAAGAATATTTCAAAATAACATTAGCACACAATATTCAAATGCCTACAAAATTAATTTGGCATTTACTTTTTGGCTCTAAGACTCTTTGCAGAAAGTAAATTTTTTATACCAAATTATTTTGTTAAGTTAATATTTTTAAAAGAAAATAAAACTTACTCAATAAAATCAAGATTTTACTCAAATAAACTTACTATTTCAGTTAAAGAAGAGCCTCAAACCCAGTAGCCGTTGCCGATTCGGACTGTCGGTCACCGAATTCGAGCTCCAGCAGAAGCTAAATAGGGTTAATTGAAAAAAGAGTTTTATTTTTTTAGCAGAAGGGTGTAGCGGTTTGTTTGGAGAAGAAAGGTGGGTTTTATTCTTTAGTTTGGAAAAGCATAAAGGTTAAGACTTTAGGTTATAGGGTTAATTGAAAAAAGGATTTTATTTTTTAGAAATAGGGTGAAGACTTTAGGGTGACTATTGTGTATTTGTGTGCAACGGTACAAGTATTAAAGAATTAAAAAAAAGAAGTAAAAAACAGAAGAAGTGCAGAAGTCAAGTTTCAAACTTGGAACCTTAAAGTAACTAAAGTGTTTGAGCAAGCTACAAAACCAACGCGTCTGACTTGCTTTTGTTTATTTAGAGAGCCTGATAAATTATTTAAGGGGTCCCCAGTGTATATATAAATATATATAAAATATATTTACAGTATTTATTTCGAGGCTAACGGGTTCCGGTGACCCCCTAACCCTAAGGTAGGTCCGCCTCTGTGACCACAAACGAATATTAACTACAACGATCATAAAGTCTTAGCACAATTTATGTTTTTGAAATTAATTAAACAACATTTAATGAGAAAAACAATTGATATAAATCAAGTCAAAACTCATTATTGTCTTGAAACTATTGTGCTCCTTGACTTTGAGGAAAGTTTGCCTGCAGTAGAGAATTTTGTCAATACAATAGTAGTTACATAATTTCCATTATATTAAAAAATTTATAAAACACGAACCTTATCACAAAAAAGAGGATAAGATTTTTGCATATGTGGAAGCGTATTAAAGAACAAAGGTTTCTACACAAATAATAGAAGTAGAGTTAGTCGAGACAAAGCAATTTCGTTTACATAAAAGAGTGACAATTATATTACCTTAATGACACGACCCAAAAATTCACAGTAGGTCGCGATGACACCTAACACCGTCGATAAGCAACCCATGATGAAATTACTATTTATTTACCCCTTTTAACATTTAAAACAAAGTTTTCCTTTTAAAAGAAACAAAATAAGTAGGATCTCATGCATCCGTATCTATTCCTTTCTTAACCAAAATATCAGCATAATAAGTATATCCACTGTAGTAGTAAGATGATAAGTATAACAGTACAAAAATATTAAAAATCCCCAAAATCCGACGCCACAAGTACATGAGCAATCTAGAGAATATACAAAACTACTACTGTCACGACTCAATTTCTCCTATAGGCCATGAGGGCGCCCAACGTTACCGCTAGGCAAGCCAACAATGAGTTAACCATGTGACTGTTCCTTTTAACAATTTAGAAATAGTTAATTTTTAATTATTGAATAAATAAGAAGTGAAAAAAATTAATAAAATGAGGAATAAACAATTTTAAGAGCAATTGAGGTGAAGTAAATAATTAAAATCACCAAGTGTCTACTAGTATAATTTCCAAGACATGGTGTCACGAGTGTATGAGCTACTAGTAGAATATACAAAAATGCTAAACTGCTGTCTGAAATAAAGTAGATAGAAAGTAAATGCTAAGAAAGACTTCGGGTGCTGCAGAATGGGCTCAGAGGGCAGCTCACCGCAAAGTCTCGGGATATCAGGAGTGCGCGCCGGGATGATAATCAGATGCACCTGTCTCAGATCCTGCACGGTTAGTGTAGAAGTGTAGCGTGAGTACATAAACAACATGTGCCCAGTAAGTATCTAGTCTAACCTCGAAGAAGTAGTGACGAGGGGTTGACTTCGATACTTACTATGGGCTTACAATAAAATAGTGAGATTCTAAATAAGCATAGGCTATGAAAATGATAATGAAAACTCAATAACAAGAAATAAATAAATAATTCTTTCACCGATAGTAAATCCCAAATCCATCATTTAACAATTTAACCTCCCAAGCCAATAAAACGATATCAAGTATAATTGGGCTCCATGTATTATTACGCATGAATTATGCCGAGGTCGTACGACCCGATCAAAAATACATATACATATACTGTGTGCACTGCCGAGGGTTGAACAACACGAACCATAGATGCATCTATTAACATGCCGAGGCGAACTGTCCGCTCCCATGAGAGTAGAGGAGTTTACCTCGCTCGCGAAAATGCTTGCGACGCGAGTGATTCATAGATTTTTTAAGTTATTAGAAATTCTTCAATTCTTTCCGAAAATAAGAAGTCTAAACTAGAAACTTTAAATCTTAACATCTTCAATCTCAGCTCTATTTAAAACAATTAGTATGCATAATCAAATAACGGTTCCAACAAAAATATGATGTAAACCTAAGACTACCCGTACATCACATGGAATATAGCTACACACGGACTCTCGTCACCTAATGCATGCGTAGCTTCCCACACAAGTAATTTATAACAAAACACACCTAAGGGGATAAGTTCTCTTTTACAAAGTTAGGCAAGAAACTTACCTCGTTCTCAAGATCACTTCTGATCAACAAATATTCTTTAAATCCTCAACTCGGTGCCAAACGACTCGAAACTAGTCAAATGCTATATAAATCAATCAATAAAATGTTCAAAAGTTCATACTCTAACTATTAAAGTGATTACCCAACCCCAATTGAAGAATTCCTAAAATTTATTCCCAGGCCCACATGTCCGAATTTTGGAAATTTTCGAAAATAGTTATTACCCATAACCTCACGAACTCAAATATATAATTTTCACTACAATCCATAACCATTTTCGTGGTTAAATCCCATTTTTTAAAATCAAAACTTAGGTTTTTTTTAATCTAAACCCATGATTTCACAAATTTACATGTTAAATCTACCCATAATTTATGTAATTAACTCATATTATGTAGAAATTATTTACCTCAAAGTGTTAGGTGAAAACCCCTCTCTAAGAGCTCCAAAATTGCCCAATGAATGAAATAAATGAGCTCAAAATGCTTAAGTCCCGGCTAAAATGAAGGTTCTACCTTCTGCGATTTTTGCATCTACGGTCAGTGATCCGCATTTTTGGTACTGCTTCTGCGGCGCAAAGCCCGCTTCCGCGGAACTTCATAGGACCAGCGCTGGCCGCATCTGCGGATGTGTTTCCGCTTTTGCGGTCTCACTTTTGTGGCTTCTCATCGCAGAAGCGAGGTCGCTTTTGCGCACACCCTTCGCTTCTGCGAACCACTGGACAAGGATCCAAGCCACTTCTGTGGCAAAAATGGCGCATTTGCGGGCTCGTACCTGCGACCAAAAGCTCGCAGGTGCGGGCACACCAGAACTGATACACCAACAGCCCTTTTGAGTCTTAACTCAATCCGCGCAACGCCCGAATGGCATCCAGGGCCCCCGAGGCTCCGTCCAAATATACCAACAGGTCCGGAATCATAAAACGGACTCGCTCGCGCTCTCAAAACGCAGAAAACAACATCAAAACTAAGAATCACTTTTTTTCCTCCGCGATAGTGTAACCCAAACCAAATTGAATCAACTTATGAACTTCAAGTTCTTCCAACTTACTCCGAACGCGCCAAAACATACTTAAACTACTCGGAATGACACCAAATTTTTCTTGCAAGTCTTAAATCACCATACAGAAATATTCCTGATCTCGAAATCCCGATTGAACCTTGATAACACTAAATCCTACTTCAAACTAAATTTAAAGAACTTTAAAACCTTCAAGGTGCAAACTACCAATATTAAGCGCCGAAATGCTCCCGGTTCATCCAAAACCCGATCCGAATATACACCCAAGTCCGAAATCACCATACGAACCTATTGGAACCGTCAAATCTCGGTTCGGAGGTCATTTACTCAAAAGGTTGACCAAAGTCAAATTTAGCTCTTTTTGCTAACCTTAAGGAACCAAGTGTTCCGATTCCAACCCGAACCTTTCCAAATCCCGAACTAACCTTCCCCGCAAGTCATAAAATAGCAAAAGCGCATATAGAGAGTCTTGTTTAGGTGAATAGGGTTCTAGAAAGTAAAACGACCGGTCGGGTCTTTACAACTACAACTACTGTCTGAAAGTGATAGACAGAAATAATAAATAAGGTAGAGGGAGACTCCGGTGCTGCAGATCGTAGCAAGGCAAGCATCTCACCACTAAGTCTCTCTAGATGATTGGCTATGCGCCCGCGTGATCACTGGTAGTACCTGTCTCAGTGCCTGTACATTAGTGCAGAAGTGTAGCGTGAGTACGAAAAATAATGCGTACCCAGTAAATATCTAGTCTAACCTCAAAGAAGTAGTGGCGAGGGGTCGACTTGACACTTACTAGAGGTCAAATAACAATATAAATACATAAAGCAGATATGGTGAATGTACAACAAATAGTAGCGAAGCACACAAAGTCTCTAGATTAAGTCCACACATGAGTCTGTATCAAGTCACTAAACATGTCATAATCGGCTTTGAAGGCACCAACTCAATAATTAACAAACCAAATCCAGTTTCAAATTATTAAGCACGAAGTTGCCGAGACGAATGGCCCGATCCAATAAGAGTAGTGTTACCATCATGCCGAGGTGAATGGCCTGATCCCATAAGAGTAGTGTTACCATCATGCCGAGGTGAACGACCCGATCCCATAAGAGTATAGAGGTTTACATCGCTCGCGGAAGCACATGCTAGATGAGAAGTCACAGATTTATATTTTATCAAGTATTTCTCAATTTTTCTAAAGTAAGAAGCTAAGTCATTATCTTCAATTTAAACCCTTAGTCTCAGTCTTAATCAAGACAATTAATACACATGATAGACATAAACAGTGCAATTAGAGGCATGATGTGAATCTAAGTCTACCCGGATGTATCATGAATATAGCTACGTACGGACTCTCGTCACCTCGTGCGTACGTAACTCCCATAACAAGTAGCACACAATAATAATAGACCTAAGGGGATAAGTTCCCTCTTACAAGGTTAGGCAAGAGACTTACCTCGGTCCCAAGTCCTCAATCCGACCCTTCAACCTCACTAGAACTCCTCTAACAATGTCGAGGACTCCGAAACTAACCAAAAGTCATATAAACTAATAAATATATGCCCAAAAGTTCATAATTTAGCTATTAGAGTAATTACCCAACCCAATTTGGAAGGTTTCTAAAATTCACCCTCAGGCCCACAT